ATATTCATTCATTGCTGCACAGTTTCCTCACTTTTCTCTATCCAGCGTGCAGCCAGCCACCCTGCGGGACAGAGTAGAATGGCCCCATCAAGTCCACAACTGAATCGTTACAGAAGCAGGTTGCCCCTTCTTCCTCCCACCAGATGGCTGGTAGCTTGAACTGCTGACATTTTAGTTAGAAGCTGAGTCCTTTAACCACTATGCTACCAGGACCCCGAATTAGACCGAGCCTGATACAAAGGCTGTAAATAAGGATATGGATACTATGGTGGCCGTTTGGCCTTTAAATTCTTGAGACTGTGTGTAACGAAGACAGGCTATAGAACTGGAATTTAAGGCAATTCCCCCCACCCCCAATGAACTACTGCATGCTTCAAAATCAGGAAAGGAGTCCATCACGGACGCATCCTGTCTCTATAACTTTTCGATCTATATGGAGAACAGATCATTCAGGAGGCTGGGCTTTGACTATGTATGGCATCAGGATTGGAGGAAGACTCATCAACAACCTATGTTATGCAGATGACACAACCTAGCTTGCTCAAACTGAGGCGGATCTGAAGCACTTGCTGCAGAAGATCAAGGACTGTAGTCTTCAATATGGATTGAAGCTCAACATCAAGAAGACAAAGATTCTCACCACTGGGGCAATTGGCAGCACTGTGATAGATGGAGAAGAGATTGAAGTTGTTAACATTTCAGCTTGCTCAGCTCCACAATCAAAACTCTTGACCAGCAGTCAGGAAATCAAAAGAAAAATTGCACTGGAAAAATCTGCTGTCAGGGATTGCTAGAAAGCAATGATGTCAATCTAGAGACTAAGGTGTGCCTGATTCTGTCTTTGCAGTCACTTGTTATGTATGCATCAGAGAGCTGGACAATGATTAAAATGTCAGAAAAAGAATTGATACCTTTGAGTTGTGGTGCTGAGGAAGAGTCTTAAAGCACCAAGAGAACAAATAAGTCTGTCTTGGAGAGGGTAAAACCAGGTTTCTCCTTTGAAGCCAGGATTTTGAAGCTCCGTCTCTCATACTTTGGGCATGTAGACAGGAAGGTCAGTCCTTGGAGATGGATTTATGCTCAAAAGGGTAGAGGGACAGCACAGGAGAGGAGGACCCCAGATGAGATGGATTGACACAATAATTGGGGTAATGGGGGTTGGTATGTCAGAGTCAGGGAGACTGGCTCAGGATAGGGCAGGCTTCAGAGCTATTGTACATAGGGTCGCTATGAGTCGCAGGCAACTCAGTGATATATAACAACAACAAAAACATTGATTCTTACTTTGTAAGGGAAGGTAGAAGGGAAAGCTGATAGCTAGCATCTGTAAGCATTTTTGGCATGCTGGGCATTGCTGGAGGAGTGGGTGAGTAATCCGTATGGTTCAGTACTAGCCATAAACATGGTAGACATCAGGTGTTCCATCTACAGAAGAAAGCTGCAGCTCGCCAGCACCAGCCACTTGCCCAGGCCAGGATGGAAACCCAGAGCTGCCTGGTTCTGAAAGGCCCCCTCCCACATGGATTATTTTCCACATCCAAGTCGTCTTATGGAGAGAAATTGTTCAGCAGTCAACTCTCATTTGAGAGAACTCTGTTTTCCAGTCCTATGCCTTCACAGAGAAGGTTCCAACATTAACATCACAGCTTTAAAATCCCCCAGCAGTGGAGTGAAAAATCCTCTGAAGGACACGTTACTGTAGTTTCTACCCAAGTTCCTAATTCTCTGATAATATCCAGCTGATGTGAAAAACTATTAGGTTTATGGAAAGAATGAATCCTGTCTCCCAGACAGCTTGAATCAAAGTAGAAAGTGTTGAGCACAGAGAAAAGATGCAGATATACACTCCTTTGGAAGGTCAGAATTGGGGCAGATTTTGCACAGCTTAGCAGTGAAGAGAGATTTGAGAATGTTTCAGGAAGGAAATTGTAATTGAGCAGGGACTTGGCCTGGAAACGATGGGGAAAGTTCATTTCAACAAAAGAGGAAACTACGAACAAAGACACAAGCAGCAATGTGAGGACGTTTGTGGGAAGTAGAGTATTCATAGCACTGTATTAATCAACAACATTTGCTCTCCAAGATAACATGTAACTCGAGTGCCTTGGAGGAAGCAGTGTACTCTGCAACCTTGTGTGTTAAAATCTCATACTGCTGGAGGAAAATTAGTCCAAATGATATGGCACACCTGGGAATTTCTTGCTTTTGAATATATATACGAAGACGTTGTTGTTGGTATGTGCCAGCAAGTCAGAATTGACTCATAGCTGACCTGCCAGTGGGCTTTCAAAAACTGTAAGTTACATGGGAAGAGATTGCCCATCTTTTTCCTGTGGAGCAGTTGATAGATTTGAACCACATTCCTTTGAGTTGGTACCACAACTTATTTTTATATTAATTTTAATGAAAGTTTACAGAAATTTAGAATTTCCATTCATTCATTGTTGCACTTTTCTCCCTGCCTACCCCCTCCCCCCAAATTAGCTCCTTTCTCTGAAAAGTAAAAGAAAAATTGGTTATACAGTCCCTCCCAAGTCCACTCCACTGTACAGCCTTCATTCTGGACTACTGTCATGATAATAATACCTAATCATATATCCCTTTTGAACAGTTCTCTCCCTCATCTGTTTCAATGCAGTATACATTATTTATTCCCTCTTTCTCAGTCTTCCCTCATCCCCAATGTCAGTCCCATTTTACAACAGTGACACTATGCAATATTTGTCCTTTGTGACTGAGATATTTCACTCAGCATAATATCCTCCAGGATCACCCATTTTGAATAATATTGCATGAGTTCCTTGTTTTTCAATGCTGCTGCATAGTATTCCATTGTGTGAATATACCACAGCTTCTCTAGCCATTCATTTGTTGATGGGCACTTGGGTTGTTTCCAACTCTTTGCTATTGTGAACAAAGCCACGATAAATGTGGGTGTGTATATATCTGCTAGGGTGGCACTTATGGTTTCTTTGGGGTATATTCCCAGTAGTGGAATTGCTGGGTCAAATGTTATTTCTATTTCCAACTTTGTTTTGTTTTGTTTTTTGGTGAGAAAAATTTATATTTAAAATGAGCCAGCTGGACTCAGTTTAGATGATCCCAATTTTGTTGGCAACATCCAAAGCATCATAGTCAGGAGCAAGTAGAACATAAGCCTTCTTCTCTCCATCAGGCCTAATCAAAGTGTTGACCTTAGCCACATCAATGTCATAGAGCTTCTTTACAACTTGTTTGATTAGGTGCTTGTTGGCCTTGACATCCACAATGAACACAAGTGTGTTGTTATCTTCTGTCTTCTTCATGGCTGACTCAGTGGTCAGGGGAAATTTGATGATGACATAGTGGTCAAACTTGTTTCTCCTGGGGGTGCTTTTAGGGGGGTATTTGGGCTGCCTTTGGAGTCTCAGTGTCTTAGGCCGCCAGAAGGTGGGTGACGTCTGGATCTTCTTTTTTTTTTTGTGGCTGTGGATGCCCTTCAGGACTGCCTCCTTGGCCTTTAATGCCTTTGCTTTGGCTTCGGTTTTGGGAGGGACAGGGGCTTCCTTCTTCGCTTTCAACACCATCCTCGTAGAAAGGCTATTTCCAACTTTTTGAGGAAGCACCATACAGCTTTCCATAGTGATTGCACCATTTTACACTCCCACCAACAGTGAATAAGGGTTCCAGTCTCTCCACAACCTCGCCAGCATTTGCTGCTTGCTGTTCGGTTAAATTTTGCTATTCTATTTTATTTGTATCTCTCTTAGAGTTAGGGATTTTGAATATTTCTTCATGTGCTTGTTGGCCATCTGAAATTCTTCTTTGGTGAAGTTCATATCCTGTGCCCATTTTTCAATTGGGTTATTTACCTTTATCTAGTTGTGATCCTGAAGTATTTTTTAAATTCTAGATAGAAGTCCCTTGTCTGTAATGTCATTACCAAATATTTTTTTCCCAATCTGTGGCTTCCTTTTTTACCCTGTTGGAGAAGTTTTTGGTTGTGCATAGTAATTTTATTCTTAGAAGGTCCCATTCATCTATTTTATCCTCTTTTGGTTGTATATCTTTCAGGATGCTTGGAAGACTGTTTATATTGTGGATTACAACTTCTAGCATTCTTCCAAGCTTTCCTTTAATGAAGTTTATAGTCCTTGGTTTTAGTTGTAGGTCCATGATCCACTTTGAGTTGGTTTTTGTGTATGAAGTGAGGTGTGGATCTTGCTTCAGTTTTCTGCAGATAGTTTTCCAGTTTTGCCAGCACCATTTGTTAAAAAGGCTGTCGTTTTTCCACTTAACTGATTTCATCTCGTCAAAAATCAGTTAACCAAAGATAGATGGGCTGATTTCCGGGTTCTCAATTCTATCCCATTGACCTATGTGTCTGTCATTGTACTTGTACCACGCTGTCTTAACCACCATGGCAGTGTAGTAGGATTTGAAATCAGGGAGTGAGATGCCTCCTACCTTGTTTCTGTTTTTAAGGAGGTGGCACAACTTCTTGCTTTTAGGCTACCAAAGCTCCCTGGATAAAGGCATGTTAATGTTGTTGTTGGTAAGTGCCATTGTCTATAAATACATGTTTTTATGTGCTATAGATTTGACTATGTTCATAGATACCCTGTGAACAGTGACGCTGCACTTGGTCCAATCCTAAGCCAGCTTTACCATCTCTGACACACCAGACCCCATTGCCGCAGTCACTATGTCAATCCGTCTCACCCAGGGTTTTCCTCACATGTACTGACCTTCGACCCTTCCAAGTATGATGTCCTTCTCCAAGGATTAGTCCCTCCTGGCCACATGCCCAAAGTTTGTGAGATGGAACCTCAAAATCCTTGCTTCCAAAGAGCAACCTGATTTCACCCTCTGCAGGACAGACCTGTTTGTTCTCTTGGCAGTCCATGGCATGATCAATACTCTTCTTCAGCACCACAGTACATGCTAACATCTATTTACATAGAAGTAGCCTTTGTAACTGATGCCCATTTTAAGACTCCTGTTTTGGTTTGTGTTTACAGAAGGAAACTCCGCTTGCAAACGCTGCCTTCTGGGCAGCCAGGAGAGGAAACCTGGCACTCTTGAAGCTGTTGCTGAACAGTGGCCGTGTGGACGTGGACTGCAGAGACAGTGTAAGGACGGCAGTCAGTGCATGCATGCCCAGCGCGCATCCTCTGCCAGCATGCAAGCCCCTCATGAAAACATTTCCTTTTGCGATGCTTATCGATTCTTCTTTGTATTTTCTTGCTTTATTCCTTTCACAAAATCCTGGGTACTAGTATTTTTGTTGTTAATGTGCTGTCAAGTTAGAACTGACTCATAGATGACCCCCTGGTGCATTTTCAGTGACTGTAAATCGCACGGGAGGAGATTGCCCATCTTTCTCCCTCAGAGCACTTGGTGGATTTGAACCATGTGCCTTAGATTGACAATACAACTCCTTACTCATTAAACCACCAGAGCTCAAAAAAGCCTACAGCACCCAGGTGGCTCCAGGTCCAACCCTGCCTCAGACAAGATCAAGTGGGTGGTATGGCCATAGATCAGGCTACTAGAGTGACTTTAAAAATATGTGTAAGAAGTCAGAAGCAAATGAAACAGTTACATACATAAAACAGAAGGTGGTCACATGAGGGCAGAAAGTTAGCTGGAAGCCAGAACTGGCAGATTACAAAAAGAAAAGGTAACTGAGTCAAAGAATTCAAATCAGCTGCTTTTATGAAAAGATGGAGATAAGTTAGAGCAAATAATAACTCCATGGACTGAGGATTTAGGGGTTTCTCCTACAACAATGAGAATACAGAACTTGAAGCCCCCCGCTAACCTCTTAACTCTTCAGAACCTTTTACAAACATTGTTATTGTTAGGTGCTATTGAGTCAAATACAATGCATAGTGACCCTGTGAACAAAAAAATCTGAATCCTGTTCTATCCTGTGCCATCCACACACTTCCTGACACACAAGAGCCCATTGCAGCACTCACCAAGTCAGTCCACCTAGTTGAGGGTCTTCCCCTCCTTCACCGACCCTCCATTCTTCCCAGCATCATGTCCTCCTCCAAGGAATAGCCCCTTCTAGCAACATGCCCAAAGTATGTGAGGTGAAACCTCGTCATTCTTGTGTCCAAAGAGCAGTCTGGCTGCACCCTCTCAATGGCATATCTTTATTTTTATTCTCTTGGCAGTCTATGGGATGTTCAGTGCTCTTCTCCAACAGCACAGCTCAAAGGCATCAATGCTTTTTCTGTCATCCTTATTCATTGGCCAGCTCTCAGATGCATAGCAAGTGATCCGAAAGACAAGTAACTGGCAGCTGGACAGGAAATAAAAATAGCTCCCACTGCCCAGGAGCAGACTCCACTTAGCGCCCTTTCCTCCTTAGCTGGAGGCCATGCTGTCTCCTTACTCTCAGGATTTTGCATCCCTGGGGACATGGATGGAGGCTCTTGGATGAGTGGAGAGCCGAAATGTTTGTATTTTAAAATTTAAATAAAACTCTTTTCGAAGAATCTTTATTGTTTTCCTTAAAACAGCATGTGCCATTTCTAGCTTATATTATACACGTTTGATAAGAGAAACAGCCCCCAGGCCATGGGTGAGAAAGTAGTGTTTGCTAAATTAGCTTACCCATCCTGGGGGGTGAGATGTTTCCTAAGACCCACACCACCCTCTCCAGCTTGCTGTTTGCCTTAGAGTCTGAACCGTGTGCATATCAGCAGTGGGCTCCCTGCTCCAGGGACCACACTGACATCAAGTCCAGAGGTAGGAGGAGGGAGAGACTGGAGAGCCCAGTGGTGCCTGCCCTGACTGTATGTCTGCTGGCATTCCTCAGATCCCTGAGACCTACAGCTTCTCTGCCCACCTTCAGGTCTAGGACAGGTAATGGTGCCCCACTGAACAGCTCTATGTCCTACCTTGCTCTCTGTACCACATCTTTAGAAATAAACTCTTCATTAGATTTTCTGCAGATTAACCCCATTCTGGATCTGCTATCTGTTTCTTTGAGTTGTGGTGCTGGAGAAGAGTCTTAAACATACATGGATGGTCAAGAAAACAAATAGGTCTGTCTTAGAGAGGGTGAAACCAAATTTTTCTTTGGAGGCCAGGATTTTGAAGCTCTGTTTCACATACTTTGGGGACGTGGCCAGGAAGGACTGGTCCTTGGAGAAGGATATCATGCTTGGAAGGGTAGAGGGACAGCACAGGAGAGAAAGATCCCAGATGAGATGGATTGATATAGTAACTTGGGTAATGGGCGGTGGGGGTGTCAGAGACAATGAGGTTGGCTCAGGATAGAGCAGGCTTCAGAGCTATGAGTCGCAGGCAACTTGACAGCACATAATAACAGCATTTGTTTCTTGCCAAGACCCAGACTTATTGGCATACCACGAATCTTTATTTGAAGTGGCCCTTCTGGTCCTGTTTGCCTCATGGAACTGCAGGACCATGTTGGGCAAAACCGTGCCTCACCCACACTGACCACTTTCCCCTTTCTTGACGTCTCTCCTTCACAGATACCCTGGGTCTTCCTCTGATTTCTAGTCAGCCTAAGTACCACACCCACCTCCCCCCAGAACACCCCCACAGCATCAGCCTTTCCCCCTCAGAAGGCAACCATCTTTCCTCTCCCTGGAAGCTCACAATATCTGTCTCCTGGGTGACTGGTAGCCATTTTGATCCAAAATTTACTTTCTTTGAACATAAGCCAGTATGTTTATACATCACCACTACTTATTTGTTTTAAAGAAGTATCATCAAGAACTTTCTAGAAAATGGACAGTACCTTGGTCTGTGGTGATTCCCTGACCTCACAGAGTAACTTGATGGTGAGGATGTATTTATAGCACCTCATTTCTTTTCAAGGGTCTCCTCAGGTCCTTCCGGGGTTGGTGTGTAAGTGGCAGCCATTGTCTGGGAAGAGTGGAGCCCTTTGTTATGTACTGATTTCACTGTGTTCATCCCCACCCCCTCTGTACACTGTACTGCTCATCGTCACGTGCCACTGGAACATGGGGTTCAGACCCCAGGATGGGTTCTTGAGTGGTAGTTGGCTTCTCAGGCTATTCCCGCCCTCACTAACAAGGCCAAGACCCCAGGATGCACTAGGAAGCCTGGGAGTCATCACAGTGTAGAGATTCGCCTAGCAGGCTTTCTTGGGGACTGCCCCTACACTCAAACAAGATGTATTCATAACTTTCCAACAAAAGGAAGCCAATATTCCATCTCTAGGCCTTGGTTTTTCTTTATTATTCTTATTATTAATTTTAATGAAAGTTTACAGAGACTTCGGATTTCCATTCATTCATTATTGCACTTTCTCCCTGACCACCCTCTCCCCCAGTTCACTCTTCTCTTTGAAGAGTAAAAGAAAAATTCTTTCATTGTTATGCAGTCCCTCCCCCCAAGTCCACTCCACTATGCAGCCTTCGTTCTAGACTCCTGTCATGACAATAATACCTAATCACATATCCCTTTTAAATAGTTCTATCCTTCATCTGTTTCAATTCAGTATTCATTATTTATCAGTTATTTTTATGTGCCTTCGTGTCAGACCCAGCTCATAGTTGGCCATCCAGCAGGTTTACAGAGACAGAAAATTTCCCTGGAGCAGATGCTCACCCTTCTCGTGCAGAGCAACTGGTGGATGCGAACTACCTGTCTCGGACTTGGAATCACCACTCCTTACCCACTGGACTACCAGAGCTCGCTGTAGGCCTCCATATAATGTTTGAACACTCATCCTCAGTTCCTGGATTCCTGAAGCCTTTGTGCAATGTTTACACATTTTTGTTTAGTTTATCTCTCATGCTGTGCAGATACTGTTAAGTGCTGTTGACATGTCTTTACCACACAAGTGTGCAGTGGCTCAGCTCTTAGACTTTGTAGGTGCATTAATCGTCTACAAATATTGTGCTTCAATGTCTTGTTTGTTGTGGTTTTCACTGTGTTTATACCCATCATACCCTCTTAGCTAAACCAGTCTGGTTCCTTGGGTGTTTGGGGGGGTTACCCCCCAGGTAAACACACACGCATTGGCACATCTAGTATAAGAATTACTTGGAGTAAGAGGATAACATTTAAAGTGAAGACTAATTTAAACTTCAGGCAATGAAATTAAATAACTTTGATCTTTAAACTGTTAAATTCAGTCAAAATTATAGATTTTTAATACGAAGGAAATATGTTTGTATACCTTAATAGATCTTTGTCCTTACTTCTTTTCCCCAGCCTGTGACTTTTTCTTGGTTGGACATGATGTAGAATTTAAATACAATCTATAAAGCTATTCTCACACACACACGTGTCTTTTCTGGAGCACGTAAGTCTAGCTTTTTTGTTTTCTATTAAATATCCAAATCAAGTGCTTTGTATTTCCTCTGGTTTATGATTAATTTTGAAAGCACTGTGACCCATGATAAAAGATTTACTCACCTCTTGCATAAAGGGTGCATTTATAGCTTTTCTATTCAGAATGACTTTAAGTCAAGAGTGTTCTTATCTGCTTTCCACACAGAATTTCTCACATTCAAGAGGAAGTAATACCAAGATCCCCTCTCCAGTAAAGTAGAAATCAGAGGAAATCATTCCACAGTATAATAGATAGTATATTCTACATAAAACTCTCACTTCCCGATGCCAGATAGTCACTTGGCATAGAAATAATAGAGCACTACATTGAACTTACTAGCTTTCTTGATGTGGCTTATCTTTTTTTACTTGGAATGAACAAGACTTGCCCAAAACTAACACTACCACTCTCAGAAAGAAGTGTAACAAAAAAAAAACAAAAGAAAGCCAGATGATAACATTTACAAAAATTTTGTAATATTCTTTGACTATCTAACATTTACTGAACACTATATGAGTTGTAATGTTAAAGAAGAATATAGACTGCACTCCATAGACTGCAAAAAGAACAAACAGACATGTCTTGGAGAAGGTGCATCCAGAGTGCTTCTTGGAAGCAAAAATGACGAAGCTTTGCTTTGGGCTTATTGTTCCTTGGAGAGAGACATCATGCTTGGAAAGGTGGAGGGTTAGGAAAGGAGAGGAAGACCCTCAACCGATGAATTAATATGGTGACTGCAGCAATAGGCTTTTAAAAAAAAAAGTATGTCAGAGTTGAAGATGGTATAGGACAGGACGGGGTTGAGATCCGCTGATCCTAGAGTCGTACTCAGTTGCACCGAACAACAACAACATTGCCTAAATTAACTCATTTAATGAGGTAGATACATTTTTTTATTCCATTTTGCCATTTGTAGTATTTACTATTCTCAGCTCTGCTGGCCTAATGGTAAGAAGCTGCAGTGCAACCTCAAAGGCATTTGGTTCAAATCCACTAACTGTTCCATGGGAGAAGGATGGGACGTCTCCTCCTGTGTGATTTACAGCCTCTGGGAACCCGCTGGAGGATCAGCTGTGGGTTGGTTCTGACTCAGCGGCACACAACAATAACAACAACATCTTCAGATGAGGACAGTGAGATTTTTTTTAAAAAAAA